CTGGCTCTGTCGCCCAGGCTGGAGTGCAGTGGCCGGATCTCAGCTCTTCTCCTGCCTCAGCCTCCCGAGTAGCTGGGACCACAGGCACCCGCTACCTCGCCCAGCTAGTTTTTTGTATTTTTTAGTAGAGATGGGGTTTCACCGTGTTAGCCAGGATGGTCTCGATCTCCTGACCTCGTGATCCGCCCGTCTCGGCCTCCCAAAGTGCTGGGATTACAGGCTTGAGCCACTGCACCCGGCAGATCTCCCAGGTTCAAGCAATTCTCCTGCCTCAGCCTCCTGAGTCGCTGGGATTACAGACACACACCACCATGCCTTTTTTTTTTTTTTTTTTTTGGTATTTTTAGTAGAGATGGGATTTTGCCCTGTTGGCCAGCCTGGTCTCAAACTCCTGACCTCAAGTGAACTGCCCACCTCAGCCTCTCAAAGTACTAGGATTACAGGTGTGAGCCACCACACCCAGCCTGTTTTTTGCTTTCTTATGTGCAAAAGTCACCCTGTGGGTATTCACAATTTGTCCCTAACCACTAGAGGTTTTCATGAATGTATCCTTTGTAGCACTCCAGAAGGTCAACTTCTTGACAGAAGCTGTCTCCCAACATCAATCAGTACTCAAAAATGTGTCAGTTACCAGAGAAGGGGTTATACCCTGATACTTCAGTCAATTACTCTGGCATTGTAGAAACTAATAAACAGCTCCGAATATTCTATGATACCTTAAATCAAAACAATTAAGGAAGAGACAAGGGAAACAAATAGTGCCTGCTGCAATGCTTTCTCATTTCCCTTTGGGAAGATAGGGTTCCTTGTTTTGCAGGAAGTCATCCCTTAGAAATTTTTTTTTTTTTTTTTTTACAGAGTCTTGCTCTGTCACCCGGGCTGGAGTGTAGTGGTGCCATCTTAGCTCACTGCAACCTCCACCTCCCAGGCTCAAGTGATTCTCATGCCTCAGCCTACCAAGTAGCTGGGATTACAGTTCTGTGCTACCACACCCAGCTAATTTTTGTATTTTTATTTTTATTTACGTATTTTTTTTAGATAGAGTTTTACTCTGTTGCCCACGGTGGAGTGCAGTGGCACCATCTCTCTGCTCACTATAACTTCTGCTTGCTGGGTTCAAGCGATTCTCATGCCTCAGCCTCCCGAGTAGCTGGGACTACATGTGCGTGGTACCACACCTGGCTACTTTTTTTGTATTTTTAGTAAAGAGGCGTTTCGTGTTGGCCAGGCTGGTCTCAAACTCTGACCTCAGGTGATCTGCCTTCCTTGGTCTCCCAAAGTGCTAGGATTGCAAGCATGAGCTACCGCACCCAGCCTAATTTTTGTATTTTTAGTGGGCGGGGGGGGCGGTTCGCGATGTTGGCCAGACTAGTCTCAAACTACAGACCTCAGCTGATCCACCTTTTTTATCCTCCCAGTGCTAGGATTACAGGCATAAGCCACTGCTCCCAGCCAGCAATTTTTAATTCTCTATTTTTTGCTCTGGAGGTCCTAAGTTTTAGATTCAGTGACACGTTGCTGTGCCATTCATGCTGCTGGGTATTGTCGATTGGCACTCAGCATCCATTCCCATCTCCTTCTACTGTCCCTTCCTGTGCTGCAGAATCTGGAGAGTTAAAACGTCATGGCCAGGATTTGGAAATGAGGTGGAGGCCACCCGCCTGCTGCTTGCTGCTGATGTATGGCAGCAGAGGTATGAGGCGTGTCTGCAGCAGGGTTGTAGGGTCCAGTCACTAGCCATGTAGGGGTTGAGAGGCTGTTTCAGGCGCAGCAAGGGTGATGTTGACTTCCAGTTCCTGAATCACAGCCACGGCAGTGTGTTGTTGAGCTTAACAGGTACAATGATGACGTCCTCATTTCTTACTTTCCCGATAGCAGCAAAAATGGGTAGCTACCCTGGTGGGACAGTTTGGAGTCATCCTTGCAGAGTCATTCTCTAGCCTCCCTGACAATTTGTATTACCTAATTCCTTATAGGAATTCTTTTCTGTTTAAACTATCCAGGTTGCTTTCTGCTTAAACTAGCCAGGTTGGTTTCAACTGAACTTTGAAAGATACACCGAATACTAAAGGTTGTGCTGGTCTAGGTGGATACAGTAAGTCCCACAGCAGACCACATCATATCTAGAGATCATAAGGCCTCTAGACATTTCCTATGCCTAGTTGTCAGGATCATGTCCTGTGCAGTCCACCCTAAAAAGCCCTTTTACGTTAGCAGCCTGGAATGTTACTAGGTCATCCAGCACAGGTTGCATGTGCCATAGTCATAAAATTTGGGACCTGAAACTTGGAGCCTGGGTGCAGGAAATGTGGAATGAATACTAGGCTGAGTTCCAGGTAGAGTCACAATTAAGGTGAAGGCATCAATGACATGACTTCGCAGGTGAGAAGATACAAAAGGCTGAGCCCAGAGAAGCTTGGTGCTCCTCACTTCTGATGCTTTCTCTGCTGCCTTGATGATCAAAAGTCCTCAGCACCCAAGATGGCCTTTGGGGACTGAGTAGCAAGGACAGCCACACTAAGAGGAAAGATGTAACTGCTGCTGTCCCTCTGTGGGTATCCAGCTTTACAAGAAATAGGTAAACTGCTTTTCTTTGATAGATAGTACAGTGGTGTTTGGCTGACATTTCACCACCTAAAATTATTAAGTTACCTTTAGAGTGAACTGCAATTACATTTTTGACAAGTTCTAAAATATATCCTAAACAAATCCCTCCATCTCTACCACCTCTACCCTATCCCCAGTTATCAGCATCTATCAGCAGGGTAGAGATCATATCTTATCTCTTCCCTGCTTAAGATCCTTCAAAGGTGTCCCTTCACATTTATAAGAAAAAATCCAAACTCCTTAAGGTGGCCTACAAATTCCTATGTAATCTGGCCTTTGCTTCTCTATCCATTCATATTTCCTGTCACCTGGACTGGCTATATAATTTGTGGGGCCCAGTGCAAAATGAAAATGCAGAGCTCCTTGTTCAAAAACTATTAAGAATTTTAAGAGGGCAATAGCAGAGCATTAAACCAGGCATCAGCCCTTTCTTTCCTTTTTTTGAATTCTTAAAATATTTATTTAGACTTTCTTGTTTTTATTTGTTAGTAATTTAATTTTTCTTCTTCCTGCTCCTCCTCCTCTTCCTCTTCTTCTTTTTTTGAAACAGTGCAGTGGCACGATTTTGGCTCACTGCAACCTCCACCTTTCAAGTTCAAGAGATTCTCATGCCTCAGCCTCCCAAGCAGCTGGAATTACAGGTATGTGTCACCATGCCCAGCTAATTTTTGTATTTTTAGTAGAGACTGGGTTTTGCCATGTTGGGCAGGCTGGTCTCAAGTGATCTGCCTGCCTCAGCCTCCCAAAGTGCTGGGATTACAGGTGTGAGCCACCGCACCTGGCTTTTTTTGTTTTGTTTTGTTTTGTTAAGTAAAAAACTTCACCTGGAAGCACCAGCCCTTTCTGAGTATGCGGCCCTGTGCCACCACATGGGTTGCATGCCCATGAAGCTGGTCTACCTGCCATCCACTTCCTCAACTCAATGGCATCCTCCTGTTTTTTAGACATGTACCAACCGGTTTTCTGTTTCATCTTAGCATGGCTCACTACTTCTCATTAGGGTCTCTCAGTGGAGAGGGTAGTCTTTTTTTTGTTTGTTTGTTTTTTTTTGGAGACAGAGTCTTGCTCTGCTGCCCAGGCTGGAGTGCAGTGGCCAGATCTCCACTTACTGCAATCTCCACCTCCCGGGTTCAAGCCATTCCCCTGCCTCGGCCTCCTGAGTTGCTGGGATTACTAGCACACACCACCCACGCCCGGCTTATTTTTGTATTTTTTAGTAGAAATGGGGTTTCACCATGTTGGCCAGGCTGGTCTCAAACTCCTGACCTCAAGTGATCCACCCGCCACCACTCCAGCCTGGGCGACAGAGCGAGACTCCATACATTTAAAAAAAAAAAAAAAAAGTCATACTGGCATAGAGTGAATCCCTAGTCCAATATGACTGGTATCCTTATAAAAATACTTAATTTTTATTGTATTGTATTTTTTTTTTTTTTAGACGGAGTCTCTGTCTGTCGCCCCAGGCTGGAGTGCAGTGGCGCGATCTCGACTCACCGCAACCAAAAGGAGACATTTTGACATGGAGACATATACAGGGAATATGCCCTGTGAACATGAAGATGGCCATATGTAAGCCCAGGAGAGAAGTCTGGAACAGACCGTTTCCTCACAGAAGGAACGAACCCTGCCAACATCTTGCTTTCAGATGCCCCCAGGATTGTGACACAATAAGATCTGTTATTGACGCCACCCGGTTGGTGACATTTAGGTACAGCAGCCCTAGCAAACGAATACACCCCCATTAGAACTAAGCTCCCTGAGAGCGGTAAGCTGCCTTGTCTTGCTCACAGCTGTCCCAGAACACGCCTGTACGGTCACTTAGCACCTAGTACTGCCATTTAACCGTTTCACTAGTATGTACGAACCGGAGAGCCTGTCAAGGGAAGAGCTGAATCTTTTATCTTTTGTAACGACTACCCAGTAAAGGAAACCGCGGGTATGCAATAAAAACCTGTTGAATCGATTAAATCATTTCACTTATTTCCAGATCTTTGCGGAGAGCGCCAGTAGGTGAAATATGTGCTGACTGATGAGTCACAGCTCTTATTCCCTGGGCTGCATTAATACCCACGACGTGCTTTTCGCTCTCCAGACAAAGAGACCGGTACTTGGCAGGTCCCTCAAGTGGGACTCAAAAGACCGAACCGAGCTGCAGCCTTTCGCTAGCACTGGTCCTCGCCCCTTTTGGCATCTTGGTACTTGTAGTTTTGTCCACTCTATCTTTACCAGAAAAGCCAGCGCTGAGACCACAACTCCCATCACCCTGCTAGCCCCGGCGCCTTCAGAGCGCATCCTCCGAGGGGCACCAGCGCCATTGACCACCCTGCTGGCCGAAGGGCCCTCCTTCCCGAGGCCAGGCGCTCCCGCGATTGGCCAGCCGCCCCGCCTCTCATCGGAGGGCGCCAGGTGAATGAAAGGGGGGCGTGTCGGTGCGCGGAGCTCCGTGGCTGCGCTGCTGGAACCCGCTGGAAGGTGAGCGCCAAGAAGCGGGTTGGCGCTGCCGCTTTCGTTGGTTTGGGGAGGATTCCGAGCACCTGGGAGGCTGGCCCGAGATTGGGGTTAGGGAGCAGGATTGCCGCCACTCAGTCATCCTCCTTCGGACCGCTTGGCCCTGGCAACTCCTGGGACCTCCGCCCCGCGAGCCCTTCCAGCGTGGGGAGGGGCAGGCACGGCTGTGGGCTCCCAGCTTCCCTGTCATTGGGTGCTCTCCGCGTCGTCCAGCCGGGGGTCGCAGCGCCGACTTCTTCCACGGTGAATGGTACCCAGGCGTGGGGGCTCAGCCACACTGGGGAAGTGCCAGCCGCAGCGATGGCCACTTTGTCCGCGGGAGGCCACGGGAGGGGCTAGGCCTTGGGGCCCCATCCTCGGGGGCCATGCCCTGTAGCTGGTTCTGGTGGCCTGTGCAGGTCGTCTGGTGCTGGGCGGGGGAGGGTCTGTCTTGCGAGCAATTTAGATGCAGTTGACCCTGAAATTCTTCGTGTGGAAATGGAAACTTCTCTAATGTCGTTCTCCTCCGATCCATGCCTAAAAGAAAGGAGTGACTTCCCCAACCTGTCGCATCGTGTCCTGGAGGGTTTGGAGAGGCCGGTTAGCATAGTGGTTAAGGATGTCAACCCGGGAGTCAGTCTCTCTGTTCCATTCCTAACTTGGTGATGTTATTTTTATCTTTGAATCTCAGTTCCTCCTCTGAAAAAGAGGATGTAGTTAGAGTATCTGTTGCACTGGGTTATTGTGAGGTGAAAACTAATGTGCTTGTAAAAGCCGGGCATGGTGGCGCGCACCTGTAGTCCCTGCTACTAGGGAAGCTGAGGTTGGGAGGATCTCTTGAGCCCAGGAGTTCCAGGCTGCATTGAGGTAGGATCGTGCACTCCAGCCTGGGCATTAGAGCAAGACCGTGCCTTTTAAAAAATTTAATTTAAAAAGTAAAATGAATATGCTCGTACTTTGCACAGTGTTTTATAAGGAATAGTGCTCAATATTTTGCTAAAATTGAGGAGCAGGTTTTTGTTATTCTCAGGTTGGTGGGACTGGAGGAGTCTTGTCAGAAAGGGTTGGGGGTGGAATTCAATGCTGCTTTTGGCCTCTGAACAGAGACAGTTGTGTGATCTGGCTAGGACTCCCTCAAGGGTATATGAGAGTTTGTATTGCAGGTAGCTGTGTTGGCATCTGCTGTCTCCTGGAGGACAGGCACTATACTTGGTTCATTTTTCTATTCCTGGCATCTTCCTTGTGTCAGGCATTGTATGTAGCTGGTAACCATTGAATTGAGTTGGAACCGTGGGATGGTTGGGAGGTTCCCTGCCAGAGTGTAGATAAATGTGCTTCTGAAAGCGGTCTGCCCTCAGAGCTGCTTTTCTGGGAGAAGTGGTGATCCTCAGCATTTCCCGGGGCAGCAGAGCACTTCAGGCAAATGGGGGTGATATAAATAAATATATACACAATATATACCAAGTACAGGATTGGGGAAAATTTTGAAGAAAGTACTATATGGAAAGACTTTTGCAAATCAGGAAGTAGAATAAAAATAATTGCAATAGAATAAAAAATAATTTAAGTGAGAAAGCCAAAAGAAATTGGTTTTAGGTGCTATTGCTGGAAAGGAGGCTCTTCCAGTGAAAGACGGAAGTGCTCTGGGAAGAGCCCCTGTAGATCAGACCATACTACAAGTTAAGAAGTGTTGTACCTACTTACATGTTTATCTACCTGGCTTACCAACTCCTAACCCCTCTGCCCTGCCTCCTTTTTTCTTAGTTAACAAAGAACAAAGCCAAGGCAGAAGGATCACTTGAGTCCAGGAGTTCGAGACCATTGAGACCAGCCAGGCAACATAGTGAGACCCCATCTCTATAAAAAAATGTTTTCAGAATTAGCTGAGTGTGGTGATGCATGCCTGTAGTCACAGCTCCTCAGGAGGCTGAGGCAGGAGGATTGCTTGAGCCTGGGAGGTCGAGGCTGCACTGAACTGTGATCATGCCACTGCACTCCAGCCTGGGTAACAAAGTGAGACCCTGTCTCAAAAGAAAAGAAAAACAATACATGCACATAGTAAAACATTCTATCAGAAAGATTTAAAATTAAAGGCAAAAGTCCCTCTACACACTTTTTTTTTTTTTTTTTGAAACAGAGTCTTGCACTGTCGCCCAGGCTGGAGTGCAGTGGCACAATCTCTGCTCACTGCAGCCTCCACCTCCAACGCCTCCTGGGTTCAAGTGATTCTCCTGCCTCAGCCCCCCGAGTAGCTGGGATTACAGGTGCCCGCCACCACACCCAGCTAATTTTTTTTTTGTATTTTTAGTAGAGACAGGGTTTCACTATGTTTGCCAGGCTGGTCTTGAACTCCTGACCTCGTGATCTGCCCTCCTTGGCCACCCAAAGTTCTGGGATTACAGGTGTGAGCCACTGTGCCTGGCCCCTCCACCCACTTCTTAACTGTACTCCCTTTCCCCAAGGGTGCTGTTAATTCTCATATAGCCTTCCAGAAAAAACATATATTTGCTAGCAAAAGCATTTACGCATAGGATCAACTATACATTTTGTTTTGCATCTTGCTTTTTTTTAATATATCTTGGTGACTTTTTCACATGAACACAGGCAATTCTACATGGTTGCATAATATTCCATTGTGTGATTGTAAAGTCATTGATTTAACTTGTCCCCTATTGATGGACATTCACATTGTTTCTACTTTTGCGCTAGTACAAAATCGTGGTGTAACAGACGTCTCCGAACTTATTTTATTTGAGACAGGGTCTTGCTCTGTCTCCCAGGCAGGAGTGCAGGGATGCCATCACAACTCACTGCAGCCTTGACCTCCCAGGCCCAAGCGATTCTCCCGCTTCAGCCTTCGTGTAGCTGGGACCACAGGCGTGTGCCACCAAACCTGGCAAATCTTTTAAATTTTTTGTAGAGATAGAATTTTGCCATGTTGCCTGGGCTGGTCTCAAACTCCTGAGGTCAAATAATCTGCTCAACTCAGCCTCCCAAAGTGCGGGGATTACAGGCATGAGTCACTGTGCCCAGCCCTGAACTTACAATTTTTTTTTTTTGAGATGGAGTCTTGCTCTGTCGCCCAGGCTGGAGTGCAGTGGTGCAATGTCGGCTCACTGCAATCTCTGCCTCCCAGGTTCAAGCAATTCTCCTGACTCAGCTTCCTGAGTAGCTGGGATTACAGACGTGCACCACCACACCCGGCTAATTTTTGTATTTTTAGTAGGGATGGGGTTTCACCATGTTGGCCAGGCTGATCTTGAACTCCTGACTTCAAGTGATCTGCCTACCTCGGTCTCCCAAAGTGCTGGGATTACAGGCGTCAGCCACCATGCCCAGCCCTAAACTTATAATTTGATGTATTTGGGGGGATGTATTCAAATGAGTAAATGTATCGCAATGAGTTTGCCAAGGCAGAAGGTGTGTACATTTAAAGTTTGATAAATATTGCCAAATTCTCCTCTGATGTGGTATTCCAAATTGTGTTCCCACCGAACTGGATATTATCATATTGAAAAATGTGATTTTATCAGTCTGATGTGTTTTCTTTCACTTCTAAGAAAGAATAAAATGTAGTATTTTTTTTCTGTCTCTTGTTTTTCCCTTAGTATTTTGATTGTCAAAGGCAACAGCAGACACTGCCAAGAAAGCTTGGTTGGAGCAGTGGGAAGGGGTGAGAATGTCAGTGAAACCTTAGTCCTGTGAAAGTTTTGATTGATTTACTTGGTAATAGAATTTTTCAGATATCTGACAGTTCTCTTTTTTAACCAAAATGTTAACTTCAACTACTTTGGATGGGAAAAAAAATCCTAAAATTATGACATAACTTCCTTGAGTTTAAAATGTTTTTTTTTTTTTTTTTTTTTTTTGAGAGGGGGGACGGAGTCTCGCTCTGTCACCCAGACTGGAGTGCAGAGGCGCAATCTCGGCTCACTGCAAGTTCCGCCTCCCGAGTTCACGCCATTCTCCTGCCTCAGCCTCCCGAGTAGCTGGTTTTTGATTTTAGTAGAGACGGGTTTCACTGTGTTAGCCAGGGTGGTCTCGATCTCTCTGACCCTCCGTGGTCCTCCGCTCGGGCCTCCCAAAGATTACAGGCGTGAGCCACTGCGCCTGGCCTAAAATGAATATTAAGATAGGAATCTTCTTAATACCCATTGGTTATAGCCCTGGGCTTAATTTAGTGGTGTCCTTAGGCCATTTTGAATATGTAGGAGTATTTAATACCCTTAGCTAAATAGCCTCCGGCTGATATCTTGAAAAAATTTCTAGGTCTACCTTTTATAGCCTTTTAACTTTTTATAGCTGTCAGTTTTCTCTTTTAGGTTTGTCAGTTTACTGTACTTACAGAGGCTTCTCTCCACTCTCCTCCTGAATTGATTCTCTAGTTTCTAAACTTAACTCTATCATTTGTTATAAATACATACAAAGTAGGTATAAGTTGCCATTTAATAAGGTTCCAGTAAGTCTTTTATGAGAAAAGTTTGCACAATTAATGCATAAGCCTTGGATTTTGCCAGTGGAGGAACCCTTTACTGGGGCAAGGGGCGCCTGATTTCTCACTGGGAAAGGTCTTGGTGTGTTCCATTTGTGGAGAGGAAGAGTGGTTAAAGAGCTGTTGGCAGCGGTTGCCAGCTCTAGCTAACCCTTTTGTGATTCCAGTAGAGGGGATGCACTTGGCTCTAGGAACCTCTCTGATCTCAATGGGTCAGTAATGAAAGGGGTAATAGCTGATAGATGGTTATGTGATTTATGCGATGGAAAAAGATGGGGTAGGGGGAGTTGGGGAACAGGTCAGTGTCTCTGTCCTCCTCACTACCAAGTGGATTTTATCTATTTCTTTACTTCTTTTGGAGATAGAGTCTCACTCTATCCCCCAGGCTGCAGTGCAGTGGTGCGATCTCGGCTCACTGCAACCTCTGCCTCCTGGGTTCAAGCAATTCTTGTGTCTCAGCTTCCTAAGTAGCTGGGATTACAGGCACCTGCTACCACACCCAGCTAATTTTTGTATTTTTAGTAGACACAAGGTTTCGCTATGTTAGCCAGGCTGGTCTCAAACTCTTGAGCCCACGTGATCTGCCCACCTCGGCCTCCCAAAGTGCTGGGATTACAAGTGTGAGCCACCATGCCTGGCCCCAAGGGGATTTTAAACTTGGTTTATAGTTTATCTACTAAGCAGTTAAGAAATGAGTATTCCTTTTTTGCTTAGCAAATCTATTTTGTCGGTTGGGCACGGTGGCTCACGCCTGTAATCCCAGAATTTTGGGAGGCTAAGGTGGGCGGATCACAAGGTCAGGAGTTCGAGACCAGCCTGGCCAATATGGTGAAACCCCATCTCTACTGAAAATACAATACTTAGCTGGGCGTGGTGGCGCATGCCTGTAATCCCAGCTACTTGGGAGGCTGAGGCAGGAGAATCACTTGAACCCAGGAGGCGGGGGTTGCAGTAAGCCAAGATCGCACCACTGCACTCCAGCCCAGGCAACAGAGCAAGACTGTGCCTCAAAAAGAAAAAAAAAAAAAAGAACAAATCTATTTTGTCCAAAGCACTCTGCCGGATACTGTAAGGGATATAAAATTGAATAAGACATGGCTCATGCTTTCAAAGGGCTTGTAGTTCATTGACAGAGAAGGGCCAGGACATAAATAATAAGCAGGAGTTAACCAAGGGTAGTGGAATCAGTTAGGAGTCTCCCAGTTGCATGAAATAGAAAACCCAACTCAGAGGCCAGGTGTGGTGGCTCACACCTGTAACCACAGCACTTTGGGAGGCCAAGCCGGGGCGGGGGGGGGGGGGGGCAGATCACTTGAGGCCAGGAGTTCGAGACCAGCCTGGGCAACATGGCAAAACCCTGTCTCTACCAAAAATACAAAAAAAATTAGCCGGGGATGGGTACCTGTAGTCCCAGCTACTCAGGAGGCTGAGGTATGAGGATTACTTTAGCCAGGGAAGTGAAGGTCGGAGAGGGCCGAGATCACACCACTGCACTCCAGCCTGGACAGAGTGAGACCCCCTCCCCCATCTCAAAAAAAATAAAAAATATTTAAAAAAGAAAACCCAACTAAGACCAGCTAAACCAAAAAGGAACTTAATTGGTTTCTGGTACTGCTTGAGTTGGGGCTGCGATGTTGTCCCCAGGCTCCATCAGCCTGAGCTGGGCCGTCATCTTTGTTAGGCTGATTTCCCTGGTGGTGTGGCAGCAACATCCCTCACATCCTGCATCCCACAGAGCAGAGAGTGCTCTTTTTTGAAATTCCAGCAAATGTTTCATTGCTTTTCATTGGCTCCGAAAGCCACAAGGCCATCTCTGAGCCAATCACTGTGGTCAGAGGGTGGGATGCGTTAATTTTATGAGCCTACATTATAGCTTACACACCTGGTGCTTGAGGATGGCATCAGCTTTATGCAACGCATGTTGGCCAAGAATGGGGGAAGGATGCTTCCATCAAAGCCAAAAAAGGCACTAGAACCAAAAGAATGTGGAATACATGCTGGCTAGCCCAAGAATCCACCAAATACTTCAGTGTAACGATGATAAAAGGAGACCAGTCTCGTTTGTGACCAGCCTGGGTAACACGGTGAAACCCCATCTCTACTAAAATAGAAAAAATTAGCTGGGCATGGCAGCATGCACCTGTAATCCCATCTACTCAGGAGGCTGAGGCAGGAGAATCGCTTGAACCCGGGAGGTGGAGGTTGCAGTGAGCCAAGATTGCACCACTGCACTCCAGCCTGGGCGACAGAGCAAGACTCCATCTCAAAAAAAAAAAAAAAAAAAAAAGAGACCAGTCTCAAAGTTTTGGATTGGGATGCTGGAGGCTGGGTGTGGTGGCTTACTCTTGTAATCTCAGGACTTTGGGAAGTGGAGGCAGGAGGATCGCTTGAGGCAAGGAGCTTGAGACCAGCCTGGGCAACATAGCAAGACTACTATCTCTACAAAAAAAATTTGTTTAATTGGCCGGGCACAGTGGTACACACTTGTAGTCCTAGGTCTTGGGAGACTGAAGTCGGAGGGTTGCTTGAGCCCAGGAATTTGAGGGTGTAGTGAACTATGATCACACCACTTGCACTCTAACTTGTGTGACAGACCAAGACCCTGTCTCTAAAAAAGAAAACCAGTTTCAGAGTGATACACTAAAGACTCAACTATAATTTTTTTTTTTTTTTTTTTTTTTTTGAGACAGAATCTCAGTCTGTCGCCCAGGCTGGAGTGTAGTGGCGCAGTCTCAGCTCATTGCATCCTCTGCCTCCCGGGTTCAAGCAATTCTCCTGCCTCAGCCTCCCGAGTAGCTGGGACTCATGTACCCACCACCACGCCTGGTTAATTTTTGTAGTCTTAGTAGAGACAGGGTTTTGCCATGTTGGCCAGGCTGGTCTCAAACTCCAGACCTCAGCTGATCTGCCCACCTCAGCCTCCCAAAGTGCTAGGATTACAGGTGTGGGCCACCGCACCTGGCCTCAACTATAATTCTTAGATGTGAATATTTTCTGTATTTTGAGCCTTGAAGAAAGTAGAATGTAGTACATTAGAGCATTGGCTCTGGAGGCCAATAGACCTGATTTTGAGTCCCAGATCTGTTACAACTGGGTCATCTCCTACCCTCAATTTCCTTATCAGAACAAGGGAGACAATATTTACTTGTAAGGTTTTTATAAAAATTCACTGGAAGAATCAATGTAAAATAGTAAGCACTGTGCTCACATGCAGTTAGCTATAGTTATTATTATTTTTTCATAAATTAACCCAGTTGGATAACCTCTGATTTTTATTAGATCCAAAGCAGACCATATTATTATTATTATTATTAGTAGTAGTAGTAGTAGTAGTAGTAGTAGTAGTAGTAGTATTGAGATGGAATCTTGCTCTGTCAACCAGGCTGGAGTGCAGTGGTGCAATCTTAGTTCACTGCAGCCTACACCTCCTGGCTTCAAGCGATCCTCCCACCTCAGCTTCCCTAGTAGCTGGGATTACAGGCCGGGCTAAGTTTTGTATTTTTAGCAGAGAAGGGGTTTCACCATGTTGGACAGGCTGGTCTCACAGTGATCTGCCTGCTTTGTCCTCCCAAAGTGCTGGGAAGGAGACCCGGTGGCTTATAGGCGTGAGCCACCGCACCCAGCCTTGTTTAAAATTTTTAAAAGAAATATTATTGGCTGGGCGCGATGTCTCACGCCTGTAATCCCAGCGCTTTGGGAGGCCGAGGCAGGCGGATCGGGAGATCAAGAGATCGAGACCATCCTGGCTAACACGGTGAAACCCCGTACTAAATACACAAAAAATTTAGCTGAGCGTGGTGGCGGGCGCCTGTAGTCCCAGCTACTCAGGAGACTGAGGCAGGAGAATGGCGTGAACCCGGGAGGCGGAGCTTGCAGTGAGCCGAAATCGTGCCACTGCACTCCAGCCTGGGCGACAGAGCGAGACTCCGTCTCAAAAAAAAAAAAAAAAAAATCATATTTGTAAAGGTTGAGATTTGTGAATTAACTTAAGAAAAATCTTGACAGAGATACAGGTTTACTCTGGAGCAGCAGCAGCTGGTGGAGCAATGGAGATGCAATCCTATTATGCCAAGCTTTTGGGGGAGCTGAATGAACAGAGAAAGAGGGACTTTTTCTGTGACTGCAGCATCATTGTGGAAGGGCGGATCTTCAAGGCCCACAGGAACATTTTGTTTGCTAACAGCGGCTACTTCCGAGCCCTGCTCATTCACTATATCCAGGACAGCGGGCGGCATAGCACCGCCTCTTTGGACATTGTCACCTCTGATGCCTTCTCCATTATCTTAGATTTCCTCTATTCTGGGAAGTTGGATTTGTGTGGGGAGAATGTGATTGAAGTGATGTCGGCTGCCAGCTACCTGCAGATGAATGATGTGGTGAACTTCTGCAAGACATACATTAGGTCATCCCTCGACATTTGCCGAAAGATGGAGAAGGAGGCTGCTGTGGCTGCAGCAGTGGCGGCAGCAGCGGCGGCGGCTGCAGCGGCGGCGGCAGCGGCGGCTCATCAGGTTGACAGTGGAAGCCCCAGTTCAGGCCGGGAGGGTACCTCCTGTGGTACAAAGAGCTTGGTCTCCTCTCCAGCCGTGGGAGAGAAGAGCGTGGACTGCCTGAGAGAGTCCCCTTGCGGTGACTGCGGAGACTGCCATCCCTTGGAACTGGTGGTGAAAGACAGCCTTGGCGGTGGCTCGGCTGACAGCGACCTCTCTACTCCACCCAAACGAATAGAGCCCAAGATGGAATTTGATGCTGATGAAGTGGAGGTGGACGTTGGTGAACAGCTGCAGCAGTATGCTGCCCCGCTGAACCTGGCCCACGTGGAGGAGGCCTTGCCCAGCGGCCAGACGGTTGACTTGGCTTACAGCAACTACCACGTGAAGCAGTTCCTGGAGGCGCTCTTGCGCAACAGCGCTGCCCCGAGCAAGGATGATGCTGACCATCACTTTTCTCGGAGTTTGGAGGGAAGACCAGAAGGTGCAGGAGTAGCCATGAGTTCTATGATGGATGTCCAGGCTGACTGGTATGGAGAGGACTCAGGTGAGTTCCCTTAGCATTCATCAGCCCTGTCAGTCATTTAGTACACACTGTCTGTGCCTTGTGTTCTCCCATCATCATGATCATTATCACCATCATCATTGTCACTACCAACATCATCAGTACCATCATCACCAGTACCATCATCATCAGTACCATCATCACCAGTACCATAATCATCAGTATCATCATCACTAGTATCATCGTCATTACCATCATCACCAGTACCGTCATCACCAGTACCATCATCATCAGTACCATCGTCATCACTACAATCATCACCAGTATCACCATCTCATTATGATCATCATCAGTCACCATTACTGCCACCACCACCACCAATATGCATTAATTGAGCACCTGCTGTATGCAGGGCATTGTTTCTTCGTGTATGTTTGTGTTTTACCTCTACAACTAGAATGTAAGCGTGTTGGGGGCAGTTTGGAGACATGGGAGGAACCCACTCTCTTCCTCTGACCGGCAGTGGGACCTTGGTTAAATCACTGAATCTCTTTGAGTCTGTTTTGTCATCTGTAAAATGGGGATAATCATCCCTGCCCTGCCTCTCTCACAGGTAACGGTTGTGGGGATCAAATAAGAGAGTTTTCAGAACTTTTTCTCACGTATCATCTTAGATTTCCTCTATTCTGGGAGGTTGATTTTGTGTGAGGAGAATGTGATTGAAGTCATGTCCAGAGATATATGCTCCAGAGATTTATACTTCTCTGTGTCAGCCAAGGTGCTTGGCATAGAATAGGCACCCAGCCTGGTGTGTTTGATGATGCCATCTACTTGAGATTATTTGACTGATTGATTGATTGATTGAGACAGGGTCTTGCTCTGACACCCAGACTGGAGTGCAATGGTGCAATCTCAGCTCACTGCAATCTCTGCCTCCCAGAGTTCAAGTGATTCTCATGCCTCAGCCTCCCGAGTAGCTAGGATTACCATAGGCGCATACCACCATGCCCAGTATTTTCAGTAGAGACAGGGTTTCACCATGTTGGTCAGGCTGGTCTCAAACTCCTGACCTCAAGTGATCCTCCCGCCTTGGCCTCCCAAAGTGCTGGGATTACAGGCGTGAGCCACTGTGCCCGGCCGACTTGAGACTATTTTAGTGCCAGTGTTTGACTTCATGTGAGCTAACTTTTTACATCCTTTGGTAGGCTTTTGCGTTTCAAGAGAACCTGGTTGTTTCTTTGAACAGTTCTGAGAGTTGAGATAATATGGTTAACTCCTCTTAACACGTGAGGTAATTGTGTTGCAAGGTGTCTTGTAGGAGACAAAAATAAACTTGACTGCCACCTTACTGACGAAACGTGGCTTCCAGAACCTCAAGCCAAGGCTGGACGCAGCTGCATGCACCTGTAATCCCAGTTACTCGGGAGGCTGAGGCAAGAGAATAGCTTGAACCTAGGAGGTGGTGGTTGCAGTGAGCCAAGATCGTGCCACCACGCTCCAGCCTGGGTGACAGAGCGAGACTCCCTGCCAAAAAAAAAAAGAAAGAAAGAAAAGAAAAGAAAAAAAAAACAGAACCTCAAGCCAAGAAATTCATGAATTGCAGTCTGGCAGTGAAATATTCAGTAGTAAAAGTCTTTCCCTTTTTTTAGCTTCTAATTCTCTGGTTGAAGTGAAAGTCTTTTAAATAAAGGGAGATCAGCTATTTTTATTCATTACTAAATGGCTGTCTTGAGACTTTTTTTCTTTTGAGACAGGGTCTCGCTGTGTTGCCCCGACTAGAGTGCAGTGGTACCATCACAGCTCACCGCAGCCTTGACCTCCCGAGCTTGAGTGATCCTCCCACTTCAGCATCCCAAGTAGCTGGGGCTACAGGCATACACCACCACACCCAGCTAATTTTTTGTATATTTGATTTATAACAGAGATGAGGTCTCCCTATGTTGCTCAGGTTGGTCTCAAACTCCTGGGCTGAAGTGATCCTCCCACCTCAGCCTCTCAAAGTGCTGGGATTACAGGTGTGAGCCATTGTGCCTGGCCTGTCTTGCAAATTTTTAATTTCTGGGAATTTTTGGTTTTGTTTTGTTTTGTTTTTGAGGCAGAGTCTCACTCTGTTGCCCAGGCTGGAGTGCAGTGGTGCAATCTCAGCTCACTGAAACCTCTGCCACCTGGGTTCAAGCAAGTCTCTTGCCTCAGCCTCCCGGGTAGCTGGGATTACAGGCATGTGTCACCATGCCCGGCTAATTTTTGTAGTTTTAGTAGAGATGAGGTTTCACCATGTTAGCCAGGCTGGTCTTGAACTACTGACCTCAGGTGATCCTGCTGCCTCGGCCTCTCAAAGTGCTAGGATTACAGGGGTGAGCCACTGTGCCTGGCCTCAAATTTCATTTTTTAAAAGCAAGAGCACTCAGTATGTCTGATTAAAACTGGACTTGAAAAACTTGAAAATGGCCAGGTGCAGTGGCTAACACCTACAATCCCAGCATTTTGAGAGGCCAAGGTGGGAGGATCGCTTGAGCCCAGGAGTTCAAGACCAGCCTGGGCAAGATGGCAAAACCCCATCTCTACAAAAACAAAAAAAATTGAAAAATTAGCCAGGCGTCGTTGCATGTACCCATAGTCCCAGCTGCTTGGGAGGCTGAGGTGGGAGGATCACCTGAGCCTGGGAGGTCAAGGCTGCGGTGAGCTGTGATCATGCCACTGCACTCCAGCCTCGACAACAGAGTGAGACGTTGTCTCAAAAAAAAAAAAAAAAAAAACTTGAAAATGCTGTTTCTGGTTCTCAGAGACACTGGCTTCACCAGCATTGGGAAGATCGTGGCTGCTTCCATGAACACACCATGGGAACTTGTTGAAATTCTCATTGCTGTGTGTACGATGGCATTTCACACACTGATCACCCTTTCATATCCACGAGACTCTCATGATGCCCCATGTGTTTGACAGAGGAAATATGGAGAAACTGCGACCCAGAAGGGTTTAGTGAGTTTCGTAAGAATGCAGTAGTAAGTGGCCCAGCTAAAACCAGAAACCTGGAGTGGCTTCATTTCATTCATTAAACAAACAGTGAAAGCAACACAAGTAGATAGAGGATTTCAGTGCAATGATTTTTTCTTTGAACCCCTCTGCATGTAAGCACAAGAAGTATCATGAAATAGGCATTTGGCTCTGTGCCACTTATAATATATTCAGGTCCTGTCCTTATTGGTCTGGAAAGTCAGGCTTCTTGCTACAGGGTGCTGTGGCAATGCAGCTGCCCTGGCCCCTGGCCATGCCTGTTGTCTACCATGTTTTTATTTCATTCATATGGCTCCAGGGTATAGTTTTTCCAAGTGCTAAGGCACAGAGTAGGATTGATTTGTTTGGTTATTCATTTATTTGTTCAAATATTTGAGTACCTTTTGTGTGAAGACATAAAGATAAGTCAGACATGGATGCAGCCCTCAAAGAACTGATGGTGTCGTATAGGAGATAAGACACAAATGTGGGCCAGGCACAGTCGCTCATGCCTGTAATCACAGCACTTTGGGAGGCTGAGACAGGTGGATCACTTGAGGTCAGGAGTTCGAGACCAGCCTGGCTAACATGATGAAACCCCATCTCTACTAAAAATACAAAAAAAATTAGCCAGGCGTGGTGGTGAGTGCCTGTGATCCCAGCTACTCGGGAGGCTGAGGCAGGAAAATTGCTTGAACCCAGGAGGCAGGGGTTGCAGTGAGCTGAGGTCGTACCACTGCACTACAGCCTGGGCAACAGAGCGAGACTGTCCCACAAAAAAAAAAAAAAAAAGACACAAATGTAAATAACATCACATGCTAGAAAGGTACTAGGGTTGAAAGACACTCAGGTATGAGTTCACAGTAGTCCAGAAGGAGAACTGGCTTCCTACTGGGAGATCAGGGAGGCATCCTGGAAGTGCCATCTGAAGATAAGAAGAGGGGACAGGGAAAAATTGATTGGAGTCAGATCATGGAAAACCTTACATACAAAGAGGGGAGGTTATATCTGTAAGCACAGGGGATTTTTCTTTTTTTTTTTTAACAGTCTTACTCTGTTGCTCAGGCTGGAGTACAGTGGTGCCATCTCAGCTGACGGCAATGTCTGCCTCCCAGGTTCAAGCAATTTTCCTGCCTCAGCCTCCCAAGTAGCTGGGATGACAGGCGTGCATCACCATGCCCAGCTAATTTTTGTATTTTTCGTAGAGACAGGGTTTCACTATGTTGGTCAGGCTGGTCTCAAACTCGTGACCTTAAGTGATCCACCCGCCTCAGCCTCCCAAAGTGCTGGGATTATAGGTGTGAACTGCTGTGTCTGGCCAGGTTTGTTTTGTTTTGTTTTGCTTTGAGACAGGGTCTCACGCTGTCACCCAGGCTGGAGTGCAGTAGCACAATCACAGCTCACTGCAGCCTTGACCTCCTGGGCTCAAGTTGTCCTCCTGCTTCAGCCACTCAAAGTATTAGGATTATAGGCATGAGCCACCACGCCAGTCACAGGGGAGTTTTTGGTAGTTTCTTTTATTTTTTTAATTTTTATGCCCACCTGGATGCTCTGCACAAGCCTCAATCCCTGTAACTCCCCTTTCCTCCTGTACCTGCTTTTCCTTCTGTTAATTTCACTCTTTCTCAGTGTGTCTCCTCTCCACCTCCACAACCACTGCCTTAGTTCCTATCATCTCTCATCCAGACTCATGGTCCCCTCCTACTTGGACTTCCTGCCTTTAATATTGCCTCTCTTAAGTCTTTTCCCTAAATTGTGCCCAGAGGGATCTTTTAAATTTGGCCATGAAAATTTGACCATGTGACCATTGTACCTTCCTTGCTTAAAATTCTAGCTGGCCAGGAGTGGTGGCTCAGGCCTGTAGTCTCAGCTACTCAGGAGGCTGAGGCAGAAGAATTGCTCGAACCCAGGAGTTGGAGGTTGCAGTGAGCTGAGATCACGCCACTGCACTCCAGCCTGGGCGACAGAGCGAGATTCCATCTCAAAAAAAAAAAAAAAAAAAAAAAAAAATCCAGGCTGCTTACAAGTAAAGTCCAAATTTCTCAGCA